AGACCCTGACCCCAGAGTGAGGCCCCGCGGACTGCGGAGGTGGAAAAGTCACCAGACGCTCCCTTCACCAGATGGCAGGAGCGAAATGTTTTCTTTCTTATTGCAAAATTGGTTTTGAAATGTCAAGGCCCAGAAAATAGCATGCCTGAGCCCCATGGGAGAGCCAGAGGCGGAGCCCCTGGACGTGACCCCCTCCGCCTAGGCTCTGAGTCAAGTCCCTGGGGGCTCGGCCGGTGGGCGTGCTCCCCTCCGGTTTCCACCCTGGCCTGGCCGAGGGCTGTTCCCAAGGACCGCTCTTGCCTTGGCTGCAGCCCGACCCACCACCGGAGGGGAATGGCCTGCCGGTAGAAGGGTGCAAGGTTCAAAGGGATTAGCAACCCTTGGCCTTGAAACAGCAAGCACACACGCAGGGCCGTGGTGTTCCGGGACACAGACTATCAGGAGCTGGGGCCAGACCTTGGGGGCAGAGGGAGGGTTGCATTTCACAAGCACAGACACACAAGCAAACGGGAGGACATCCCAAGGAGAGGCAACAGCACAGGACAGAGGCCTACAGACAGGAAATCTAGGCTGTCTCCCACCAGGACAGGATCTGTGCTTGGTAGATGGGATGGCCGGGACAGCTGAGGCTGGAAGATGGGGTGGTGTAGACAGTGGCAGACTTTGGTGCCAGGTGAAGCTTGGTTTTAGTTTTGTGGGCAATGGGGAGCCACGGAAGGTTCTAGAGGAGGAGAATAAACATCAAGAACATCACGCGATCCTGTGCGGCCTGGATTATGTGTATAATCCCCCATTCCCCTTTATGGTGTGAGCCCCAGAGTAAAGTGAACCTCGCCGTCTCCACTGCCCCAGGACCCCCCACGGGGATGGCCAGTGATGCTCTGGGCTCGGCCCTGGGCTCAGGTCCTGACAAGATCGGTTCCTAGAGTTTGGGCCCATCACCGCGTCTAGGAGTCACATTCTATTATTGAAAACTAGGGACCATAAAACCACATTCACAGGGCTTTTGTGAAATTCAACACGAAAGCTGATGGTGCGGCCCTGGGCACGTGACAAACAGGTGCCGAAAGAATGTCGGGTCCCCTCCGTCTGACCTCCGAGGACCAATCATTTGATAAATGCCTCCTGGTGACAGTAACAATGCGGATGATGACCGAGGCCAAGTCCGACAAGAGAAGGGGCTCCGGGCGGCAAACTCCTCTCCTTGGATCCCCGACCTTCCTTCCAAGTTTCCAACCTACCATTCCCCTGTCGCAGCAACGACATCTAAGCTCCCCGGCTCAGTGTTCCAGGCCGTCACCCTCTGACCCCTGACCTCCCCTCTGGCCCTGTCCCCGGCTCCTGCCTGATGGCTGGTGCTACCCCAACCCAGGCTTGCTGGGGCTCTGAGCACGTGCCTCGGGCCATGCCCACCTGCTGGGTCTCTCTCCTCTGCTGCTCCCTCCGCCTAGAGCCCCCTCCTCTCCACCCTCACCCCTGCGGCCCCCAGCCTGGCTACCTCGTCTGTCTTTCAGCTTCAGCAATAAAGTCACTTGTCCCCAGAGGCCTGATGCCCCAGGCTGCCTCAGAGAGTCCCGGGTTCTCTGCTCACTCCACTGTCCAATTGGGAAGCCTCTGGCCGTATGACTTAAAAGTGGTTCCCCACTCTCTGCCCTGCCGGGCACGGTTTTACTGTGAACGCCCGTCTCCGATCATCTGAGAGGCACGTGTCCTGGCAGGGAAGCAGAAAGCCCATCTGACAAGGAATCAGAAGACTCAAATTCCAGGCTGGAATGTCCCACCCGGAGACCTTTTCAACGTAGACAAGTCACCTCTCTGAGACTCAGTTTCCCCATGCATAAAATGCAGACCATGGCTCTCCCTTCGTAACGTGGTTGTGAGCCTTAAACCATCGGCCCTGAAAAGATGATACAAATTTTCTTCATTTTGACTGTTTCCGAAAAGAGGATTAGGTGTTTTCAATAAGATGCACAAAATCAGTGAGACCGCACACCCAAGAAAGCACGCAGGACACTGGGTGTGGGGCCAGCACCTCTTCTAGCCTGGTCAGGAGATCAGTTTGTGTACGAGAAGGTGGTCCCCCCCCCCAAAAGTGACCATTGTTAGCTGTCTATCCCAATGGGTGTGACCCCAGAGATGCGTAAGTCATGGCTTTGCCTACACGTGGGCAACGGAGGCCCAGAGAGGGATAGGGACTTGGCCGAGGTCACACAGCACTTTCACATCAGCATGGAGCCTATAACCCAGGTTCTGCCCCCTGGCCCCCTGGCCTGAAGCAGATGCCCTCGGATGGGGGCACCATAATGCCGGGCCAGGCACGGGACACCAGCACTTCCGGTAGGCATAGCACCACACGCCCTGAGCCCTGCCTCATGCCAAGTGGGGAGCAAGGCCAGACCCTGGCCCTGGAGAAGCTGACGGGTCACTTCTCACGGGGCAGAACCCTTCTCCACCCTCCTGAAGGCTAATCTGGGCCCACCCAGACCCGGCCCAGGGAAGCCGGGAAGCGGCAGGAAGGACTGGGCTGGGGACCCCCCAACCCCACCACCCCCCCCCACCCCGGCCGCAAGGTGCCTCTGCCAGGACGGGACAACCAGAAAGCCCCTCTAGCCCCTCCCTATGAAAATGTGGTCCCAGGACCAGGGATCGTGTTAGACATGCCAGAGTTGGGGTCCACCCTGACCCCCTGGGTCAGAATCGGCCCTCAAACCCAAATCCCCAGGAGATTCAAACACGTCAGAGTTTGAGAGAGACACTAGCCTGGTCCGCCCCTGCCATTTAAGAGTCAGGAGACACGAGGCCCGAGGGAGGGACACGGCCGAGGCCCCAGGGCTACGGAAGCCGCGGTCTCTGTACCTCGGTCTCCCGCAGCCTGGCCTCCAGGGCTGCCCGGGGCCCCTGGGTGTTGTCGTTGACCTGCAGCCGCTCCTGCACAGCCTTCATCCACTGCCGGGCCTCCTCCACGCTCCTGTCGAAGCCCTCCTGGGGCGGTTGAGTCATGGCACCTGCAGAGGCTGAAGGCAGGAACATGTGAGATCAGGCCAGCGGACGAGAAAGCAGGGTGACGCCGGATGGGGGTGGGGGGGAGCCAACGCTGGGGACAGGCCCACACAGCACCAGTGCCCCTCCCGGCAGGCACGTCCGCCTGGCCCCACAGCTGGGGGTGACTGTGGTCGTCAAAGGGCCAAAGGACCCGGGAGGAAGGACAGGTCTCTCCTGTGGGAGCAGGGAGAGCAGGTGCAGGGCGCTGGGCTGGCCTCTCAGCTCCCCTGCTGTAGACTCAGGGGCAATTCTCCTCTGTCTCTGTGGGTTGAAGCCCCTCCGCAAGGGGATCCCAAAACACATATACGGTCTGAGATGGGCACTACGGATAGCGAATCTTGAGGTGCATGGATCAAGAAGCCTCAACCGGGGGCGCCTGGGTGGCTCAGTCGGTTAAGCGTCCGACTTTGGCTCAGGTCATGATCTCGCGGTTCGTGGGTTCGAGCCCCGTGTCGGGCTCTGTGCTGACCGCTCAGAGCCTGGAGCCTGTTTCATATTCTGTGTCTCCCTCTCTCTCTGACCCTCCCCCGTTCATGCTCTGTCTCTCTGTCTGTCTCAAAAATAAATAAACGTTTAAAAAAAAAATAAAGAAGAAGCCTCAACTGAAGAAACACAGTTTTGGGCCAGGCTGATGCCAGCCCCGAAACCACGCCTGAATATCACGATCTCAGGGCTGGGGGTGCCCATGACAGCCAGGTGCCTGCTCGCTACTTTGCCACCAACTTGGGTCCACGGCAGACGTCACTGACGATCCACTGACTTTGCATGTGAGACGATCCCCACCCGCTTTGCCCCCTTAAGCGACGCCTGCCTGCTGGCCTGGATCCTGCAGCTGAACCCGCCCTTGGCTACGCTGCCCACAGCTCCCTTCTCCTGACCTCGTAGCTGCAGACGCGGAGGCTCAGATTTTCGCGGGTAACTTTCCTAGAATCCCGTGCAGCCCAGGCAAGACTTTTCCTACATTCCGGTTCCAGTTGTCTGCTTACAGCAACTATCACCTACTTTGGATTAAAGTTATTTATATCTGCATCTTACGGGAAGGGATTGTACGTGGCTTATCTTCCAGCTCCCGCAACGCCTCGCACCGTGGTGAAATGGCCCAGCATCGGTATAAAGTGTAATGCTGATGATCACAGCATTAGTTAAAAATGGCAAACAGGACAAAGCTAGAAACAGCCCAGATGCCCAACAATGGGGGGTTGGTTAAGGAAAGCACGAAGCGCGTTTCAGGATATCACGCAGCCACTGAAAAGTATGCCTAAAATGAATTTAATAAGGGAGCATCCTTACGATATGACACCCCCAAATTAGGCAAAATTGTATCTTTAGCAGACACGACTCTCCACAACCAGTAAAAGCAAACAAAACCACAAAAGACTACCCTCACAGGGGAAGGTTGGGCGGTCTTGCCACGATGTGTCCACGTGACAGGGGGTGTGGGCTGAAGTGGCCCGAGTCACATCCCACGTGACCTCAGGCCTCTCTTTTCCGGGCACAGTGTTCTTGGAGGCCACTTGATTACGGACGATTTGCGTGCGGATGGTGGGAACACGCACTTGGGAGTTTTTGTGTCCTTATTTTTCCTTAGGCGTCTTGCGAACTTTCTAGAAAGGGCGAGCATCACTTTCAACTTACACCGTCTCTTGACCTCGGCTGAACTGCGTTGGCCCTCTCTTCTGGATCGGCAGTCGGTGGTTCAACAAGCTCGGACAGAGGATTTGAACACCGCCCCCACCGCCCTGGGTGGGCTTTGCCACCAGATTGCAGGGGACAGCTGTCACCGCCGGGGGACGCCGTCGGCGGCGAGCGAGACCTGGGCCTGCGGCTCAGAGCTCAGTCTCCCAGCCTGTTCTCCTTTCAGAGCTGTTTGGAGTTTTGCTAACCATTTAATATGTTCCCTGAAGCCACTCCCAGTCTTTGAATGCTTCGTTTGTAAAGCACAGGAGACTGTGCGGGCGTTTAAATTGGTTCATTGTGACTTTAATCACTTGTCTAGTGTGGGACTTGATTGGCTTCCAACAGCTCGGCTTTTACGTAACTTGACCGAGCGAGGAACGGGAGGGGCAGGGACGAGTCTCCCAGAGTCTCACATGGCACAATGGTGGCGGGGGAAACGCTGCCCTAATCGCCAAAAGGCATGGAGAGCCCTTCTCCGCTCCGGTCAGGATCTCAGGGTTGGTGAGTTCGAGCCTCCAGTCGGGCTTTGCACTCACAGCGTGGAGCCTGTTTGGGATTCTCTCTCCCCGCCCTCGCTCTCTGCCCCTCCCCCACTCGTGTTCCCTCTCTCTCTCCCCTTCTCTCTCTAACACAAATAAAACGTTTAAAATTTTTTTTTCAAACAGACTGAACTGAATCGATGAAGTACACACACGTGCACGCACAGGCACAGGCTTCTTTATTAACACGTTAAATCACCAGCGCTAACGCTGGGTCTAATGACCACCAGAATTTCAAAGTAGCGACGGGCAGACACGACATCTCAAGATACGTACGACCTCACTGCAGCGTGAAAATAGGTGTGACGGGGTTACCAGCACCGCTAAGGCGAGACAGGGCTTCGCTTTGGCTTTGCCTCGTACCTAATGGAGGGAACCGCCGTCAGGTAGAGGGTGCGAGGCGATGAGACTACGGTTTCCCGTCCGAGTTCTTGGCCCCTAAATGGCCTCTCAGAGCCGGACCTTGGGGAGGAAGCCTGCTCTACGCCTTCTCACATAGGAAGGGGAGCCTGTTTTGTTACACGAGGTTGAGTTTCAAGAATCAGATGGGCAGCTCAAGAAAAGCCCGCCCACAACTGATGTAGGGACCAGGAGGGCATCCCTCACTGAAAGCTTCCTGGGAACCTGTCTTGTGGAAGCCAGGGGCAGAGGTGTGGCTCTGGGGGGGGGGGGGGG